TATTTGTCTTAAGCATAGAACTAGAAACTCGTCTCTTTTGGAGCCCTGACCTTGAGCCACCCAGAACAGTAGATTGGGGACTGTTTGTTCTCCTGAGATGAAAAGAGATTATAAGAGGGGGATCCCCATTGTCAAAATGTTTTGAACCACCGAATCATGTAGTTCCCATTCATGGTCCCTGGAGAAGTGCCTACTGAGGCTGTCTGCTAACTTCTTGTATATTCTGGAAGATGCACTGCCAAGAGGGTGCTCTGGTGATGAATATACCAGTTCCAAAGATTGACCACTTCTATATGAAGAGGGGAAGACCTTGTTCCCCCTTGTTTGTTTAAGTAGAACACCGTTACGAGGTTGTAAGGCATGATTCGGACCTGCGGAGTTTGAATGAATAGTAACTCCAGAAGATTTATGTGCAATTGGGATTCTTGGGGAGTCCATGTACTTTGTATTACATGTTCATCCAGATGGGCTCGCCACCCTATTAAGGAATCATCTGTGATCAATCTCTTCGTAAGTGGAGGAGGATGAAAGGCGTCCCTCCCACCATGAGAGAAGCTGGTACTCAGAAGGGGGAGAGGGAATCAAAACTAATTTGTTCAGACTGCGTTTGCTCAGCACATAGCCTAGCCATAACCAAGCCTGCAGACACAAAGCCATGTGACCTAGAAGGATGAAACGGGTGTGAACTGACATGTATGGACTCAGTTAAAGCTAGTAGATAAGGTAATTTACAGATTGGAATCTATGCTGAGGCAGGTAAGCTTTGACACTGACAGAATCCAGGGTTGCCTAAATAAAATGTACAGTCTGTGTGGGAACTAAAATGGACTTTTCTGCGTTTAGCTGAACTCCCAATGAATGCAGAAAGTTGCATATGGAGAAGGTTGCTATCTGTACCTCCTGACAAGATTTCCCACCAGTAACCAGTTGCTGAGGTAGGGAAAAACCAATGAGCCTTAGCGGCAAAAGCAGGCTGTCGCTGTCAATATTCCCTTTGTGAATACCCTTAGTGCAAGGCCAAAGGGGAACATTCTGTATTGCCCTACAGCGACTCTCAGGAATATTTTGTGTAACAGATGGATGTCTATGTCAAGGTAGACATCCTCCAAATTGAAAGATGTGAACCAGTCACCCTTGTTCAGTGAGGGAATTGTTACGGTCAGGATGACCATCCTGAACATTAATCATCGGATGAAAACATTCAACCATCTGAAATCCATTCTGCTTTCATGGGGAGATGAGAATTATTTCAAGTAAAATCCCTTTTCCCCTGTGTTGAAATGGTACTGGTTCTGTCACTCCAAGATGGAGTGGGGAGTCTACTTCTTGACTCAGCATCCTCTCATGAGAAGGGTCCCTGAAGAGGGACAGGGAAAAGAGAGAGAAATTCTGGATTCTGGAGGGGGAAAGGAGAGAAATTCTGTGATGTAGCTGGTACTGATCACTGCTTGTATGAATGAGATCTGAGGCATTTCCTCCATAGTGCTGGAGTGTAGATGCCCAGCGAATGGAGTGTTGTCACTTAGCCCTGGTCTACACTACGAGTTTAGGTCAAATTTAGCAGCGTTAGATCGATTTAACCCCGCACCCGTCCACACGACCAAGCCTGTTTTGTCGACTTAAAGGGCTCTTAAAATCGATTTCTGTACTCCTCCCCGACGAGGGGTTTAGTGCTAAAATTGACCTCGCTGGGTCGAATTTGGGGTAGTGTGGACGCAATTCGACGGTATTGGGATCTGAGAGCTATCCCAGAGTGCTCCATTGTGACCGCTCTGGACAGCACTCTCAACTCAGATGCACTGGCCAGGTAGACAGGAAAAGCCCCGGGAACTTTTGAATTTCATTTCCTGTTTGGCCAGCGTGGCGAGCTGATCAGCACAGGTGACCATGAAGTCCCAGAATCACAAAAGAGCTCCAACATGGAGCTAATGGGAGGTACTGGATCTGATCGCTGTATGGGGAGAAGAATCTGTGCAGGCAGAACTCCATTCCAAAAGACGAAATGCCAATATATATGCCAAAATCTCCAAGGGCATGATGGGCAGAGCCTACAACAGGGACATACAGCAGTGCCGCGTGAAAATTAAGGAGCTCAGGCAAACCTATCAAAAAACAACGGAGACAAACAGTCGCTCCGGGTCAGAGCCCCATACATGCTGCTTCTATGATGAGCTGCATGCAATTCTAGGGGGGGGCTCCTACCACTACCCCCACCGCTGTCCGTGGACACCTGCAAAGGGGGAGTCTCATGCAACAGGGAGGAGGATTTTGTGGATGACGAAGATGAGGAGGAGGTGGTTGAGGATGGCACACAGCAGGCAAGCGGAGAATCCCTTCTCCCCAGCAGCCAGGAACTGTTCATCACCCTGGATCCAATACCCTCCGAACCCTCCCAAGGCGGGCTCCCAGACCATGAAGCTGGAGAAGGCACTTCTGGTGAGTGTACCTTTGTAAATATAATACAGGGTTTAAAAGCAAGCGTGTTCAATGATTAATTTGCCGTAAAGACTTGGGATGCATTTGCGGCCAGTATAGCTACTGGAAAGTCTGTTAACGTGTCTGGGGATGGAGCGGAAATCCTACAGGAACATCTCCATGAAGCTCTCCTGGAGGTACTCTAAAAGCCTTTGCAGAAGGTTTCTGGGGAGGGCAGCCTTATTCCGTCCTCCATGGTAGGACATAAGCCAGTAGCAAGTAGTCCGGAATCATTGCAGAACAAAGCATTGCAGCGAATGGGCCCGGACTTTGGTGGCATTCAAGCAACATCCGTTCTTTATCTCTCTGTGTTAGCCTCAGGAGTGTGATATCATTCAGCCTGGTTGAAATACGGGAAATTTGTTTAAGGGGACATTCAGAGGTGCCCGGTCCTGCTGGGCTGTTTGCCTTTGGCTGAAAAGAAATCCCCGCTGTTAGCCACGCAGTGGGGGGAGGCCCGTTCCTGCTGGGCTATTCGCCTTTGGCTGACAGGGATCTTCCCTGATACGAGCCACGCGGTGGGGGAAGGGAGGGTGTGAAGCGATCATCCCAGAGAATTGGGAGGGAAGGGGGGGGGGGGGGGGGGGAAAAGAAACCCCGGGGGGGGGGGGGGGGGGGGGGGGGGGGGGGGGGGGGGGCGTGGACACACACTCCCACTAACACCAAACCTATCAGAGGAAGAGGCAGCTCCAGACTCTATGGGTGGTGCCGTCGGGACCAAGATTCTTGTTATGCCCCGGCTAGTAGAAGGTACTGATGAGCGACTCTTCCTTCCTTGTACCTCCTAGAGCAATGATGTGAGGATCTCCCTTGTCAGGATCGGTTCCAAAAGGATTAGGGATTCCACGTCAAAGACAACAGCAATGTCCTCAGGTGCAGAGCATCCTTCTCAGAAGAAAGGGGATGGAGTATACTGCACTGGCGGTGTTGGTCTCATTGTGGTCTTTGGTACTGACAACTCCTTAACATGGTGCAATAGTACTATCGATGTGGGCAACATCCATACCGTTTCTCTCTTGCTGATGCTGGGGACAGTCCTGTTTCTGTTGTTAATGCCGGTTTCGGGGCATTCCAGCTCTTTGGAGCTAGGAGACCAGTACCATGCTCCCTGTGAGCTCCTGACGCTCCCGTATCCTGGGTGCAGAGTCTCACCTAACTTGGAAGGTGTTGGAGAAGAGGTCCTCTTCTTGGATGAGAAACCGAGGAAGATTTCTCTAGCTTCTTGCAAGAGTGTTTTCTATCCTTCTCATGCCCGTTTGGAGGAGTCTTTAGCTCTACTCTTATTAGCCCCAGAGCCAGAGATCTCAGTTTTTGGAAGGGCGCTCCTTGGTAACTCCAACCAATATACAGGGGAGTCTGACAAACCAGGGTTGGACTGGGGCCTCATAGCACAATCCATCAGGAATCTCTGAAGCCTGCACTAAGAGGCTTGATGGGTTCAGCTTGGAAAGGATCAGTTAATAGCGCCTTTCAATGGGATGTGAGCTTCCCCAAGGCAGCAGAGGCATCGGAGGTGGTCGTTACTGACAAGGAAGGCCCAGGAGGCAGGAAACATAGGTCTTGAATCCCAGGATCTTGGGCCTAGTCACCCTGGTGGAGAGGCAGGAGGAGGGAGAGACCTAAGCCCTAACTATTAATAATTACACTAATTAACTACAAAAATTATGTAAAATGTATTTACAAATATTTACAGTTCAACGCAGAAGCAACTAGCAACTTCTGCGGACACTGAAGAGGTTCCATCTCAGACCCCAAGCAGTAGAAAGGAATTGAAGAGGTGGTCAGTCTCCACCACCCCTTATGCCCTCAGTTCAGAGAATGAGAAGCAGAGAGGGATACAGGTACAGACTAATGGACACTGCTAACAAGGATCTTTTCGTCGAGCACATGTGCACATCCACAGTGGAATACACATAAGGATCATCGTTCGAAAAAGAACGATTCACTACATTATTTCTAGCATCTTATAAAACACTGGTTGACTCTGGCCACTAAAATGTGTTTATGGCATGTAATGTTGCCCTATAAAATTTGCCATATTTAGCCAGAAAAAATGGCACTCATTTCAATGAGAAAAAAAATCCAGCATTAAGCCTGGCCTCTCACTAATACTCACAGTATTAGGTGCCTCAGGGCTAGTCTACACTACCCGCTTGGATCGGCAGGTAGAAATCGATCTCTATGGGATCGATTTATCAGGTCTCATCTAGTAGGATAAATCGATCCCCGAATCGACGCGCGTACTCCCACCTCGTCAGGAGGAGTAAGCGCTGTCGACGGGGGAGCCGCGGCGGTCGATTTGCCGCCGTCCTCACAGTGGGGTAAGTCGAATAGGATACGTCGAATTCAGCTACGCGAATTTGCGTATCTTAAATCCATCTCCCCCCCCAGTGTAGACCTAGCTTCAAAAATACCAGGAATAAACTGTTTTTTCATTTTGGCTCTTTTTTTTTCGGTTTTTTTTTTTTTTTTTTTTTTTTTTTTTTTAAGGATTTCTGGCACATTACATAATAATATACACTTACCATGTTACATGGAAAGCTTGACGACATCCATGTTTGTTACATGTCATGCAAGCACCAGTTGCTGCTTTGCTTTCTCTGCCTTGTTCATCACAAATATAGCACGTCTATTAAAGAAAAAAAAAGTATTCACATATCATACAAAGTACCCAAATTATTTTTGTGTTACTCACAGGAGGTATTTTATATGATGTGCTACAAGGACAAATTGATTTTCTCAATCTTGTAGTCAAGCTTACTTGAGGACTCCTTTACACAGCCTAATCACAATTTTTTAAAGCAAATTGTTATATACACTGTTCAGGATTTGCATAGAACTTTACCTTTTCTAAGTGCTGTATAAACATTAAATTAACTAAATCTACACACCACCTCTGTATTATCCTAATTCACTATTATTCTAATTTTAAAGATGGGGAATACTGAGGCAGAGAACTTAAACAACTTGTCTAATGGCCAAACGGCCAATGGCTAACACGTGATTAGAACTCAAGATTTTCCGAACTCCCCAACCCTGTGTTCATTCCTTCAAATCACTGAATTACTCTCATATGTTTGCTTATAAATATAGTTATTAGTAGCAGTATCATAGTAGCACTTAGAAATTCCAATCAGGATCAATGTCTAATTATGCTAAATACCGTATAAACATGTCGGACACCCTAGTTTATGTCCAGAGAAGCTTCCTATTTAAAGTTAAACTTCATAATTTTATGCAATGCATATTTACATACAAATAAGTGGAAACAGATTTTCAGAAGTCTCACAATATGGCTCCAAGCCTACATGAGGTTCAAAGGCCTTTAACCAAGTTTAGTAATGCTATTCAACATAGTTTTTATTTAAATATGAGTCTAAAACAGCACAGCCTTATAACCACTGGTTAGAAACTAGTCTAGCTGGAACCTTGTTTAAATTGAGTTTAATTCAGGATCCTAAACTCATTTCAAAGGCCAAAGAACAAGTTAGATTTAAAGCAGATTGTCAGATTTCTAAAAATGTCATTACAGAATCTCACCGAATGCACAGTAATTAGAGAGACCTATAGCAATTTATTTAATTTTGCAAATTATCAATTAACTGAATAATCAAAAAGAACAAAAATGATCCATCAAAATATATTTCATTATTTGACAGGTGTGTTTGTAATTGTAATTATAAATACTTAATATATTAGTACACATGCTACAATGTATTTTCTAAAATAATGAAGGCTTAATTAGGGCTGGTCCACACTGGGGCTGGGGATCGATCTAGGAAACGCAATTTCAGCTACGAGAATAGCGTAGCTGAAGTCGACGTTTCCTAGATCGAACTAAGTTTACTTACTGCGGGTCCACGCGGCGCAGGCAAGCTCCCCCGTCGACAGTGCTTCCTCCTCTCGGCGAGCAAGAGTTCCGCAGTCGACGGGGGAACGCTTCTAGGATCGATTTATCGCGTCAAGATGAGACGCGATAAATCGATCCCAGAAGATCGATCTCTACCCGCCGAATCGGGCGGGTAGTGTGGACCTACCCCCATAGTGGACTTCACTATAGCTTCTCCTAATTAAAGCTTTGGTGAGAAGTGTGTGAAACAACTGTTTTTTTATAATATAAATATTGGGGTGTGCTGATTACTGAAGTGTAAATTAAGTAATTTTAATTTTAATTTCTGCTGTTCTATGTTTATAATATAGTTGCAGCCTATTGCTAGGGCACTACCAAATTCACTGCCATGAAAACTGGGTGACCGACTGTGAAATCTGGTCTCCCCTGTGAAATCCGGTCTATAGCCTATACTATACAGATTTCACAGGGGAGACCAGCGTTTCTCAAATTGGGAGTCCTGACCCAAAAGGGAGTTGCACGGCGGTCGCAAGGTTATTTTAGGGGGGTTGCGGTATTGCCACCTTAATTCTGCACTGCCTTCAGAGCTGGGTGGCCAGAGAGCAGCAGCTGCTGACTGAGGGCCCAGCTCTTCAGGCAGCAGCACAGAAATAAGGTTGGCAATACCATACCATGCCATCTTTACTTCTGCGCTACTGCTGATGGCGGCTCTGCCTTCAGAGCTGGGCTCCTGGCCAGCAACTGCAACTCTCCAGCTGCCCAGCTCCAAGGGCAGCACCACCACCAGCAGCGCAGAAGTAAGGGTAGCAGTACTGCAACCCCCCCCTACAATAATCTTGTGACCTGCCCCACAACTCCTTTTTGGGTCAGTACCCCTACAATTACACCACCGTGAAATTTCAGATTAAAATAGCTGAAATCATGAAATTTACGATTTTTAAAACCCTCCGACTGTGAAATTGACCAAAATGGACTGTGAATTTGGTAGGGCCCTATCTGTTGCATAAACAAAATGAAAATGATTTCAACTAGAAATCCTTCATGGAAACATCCTCTGATTTGGACACACCAAAAATAAAAGATGGCCTTAAAAACAAAATTCTCACATGCACACGGGGCAGTACAAGGCCATTTTGACAGAGGCACCGCCAACCCAAATTTCAGTGAGTGGCATTGCGTCCTGGTGCATAGAGCTGCAGCACCACTCAGGTTTCGCTTGGCTGCCCGTCCTCTGTGATACAGGGAAGGCCAGGTCAGGCCAAACCCAAGTGGCACTATGACCCTGCATGCTGGATCGTATCATCACTTGGTTTTGGGGCACTCTCAAATGTGGGCCCACACAAATTGTCCCTTTTGCACTCCCTCTTCCCCCAGCAGAAAAAGGATGGGAAGCAACTTTTGTTTGCTTCTGTTTTTCAATATCTCCTTTGTTTAACTATATCATATCTTTACATTGAAGAAAAGGAAATCACACTAATGCTTAAGTATGACTACACTTGAGTGGAGCAAAAGGGAATAAATGGGAAATATGGGGGCAAATATAATGGAGGTACAATTTAAGAAAAAAGTGTATAAAAAGAGGTGAACATAAAAAAGACAGAAAAATATACAAACTAAAACAAAATACAGTAGATAAAGACAAATAAATCAATGAAATTCTGAGTTAAGGATAGAATGGCTTTTTATGGTCTTGTCTGGACTAGAATTTAAGGTGTGCTATTAGCATATATTAGGTAGCATGCAAATTAAAATGTTTTACAGAATCAAGTGTAGACAAGGCCATGTGTTTGGTCTCCACTAGACTTTTAAAAAGCATAATTAGTTAACATCACACCTTAAATCCTAGTCTAGACAAAAACTAGTTGAGGGGCCTCTGATCTGGAAATGATTTTACCAATTCCTTAGCTCACTCACCAAGATTACAGTTCACATAGTACCTGAGATCACTTGCTGTTCCAACGCCCAATGAGTATCACATGACCTTCAATACTTATGTATTAAGAAAAAGCAAGGTCACCATCTAACAAGTTTTCTTGCTTTTGAAATGTACTTCAGTAGTAAATCCTTTGTTTTGTTTGAACATTTCCATTAACAGAAAACTTAAGTTCTAGCAAAATCCATAAGACACAAGATCCAGCTACTACTGTATTACTTTACTGCCCAGAATTTTTCTAAGCATTATTCTAGTTGTTTTTCCTTAAATAAATCCCAGTAAAAGAAATTATGCAAACATCTATTCAGTATGGATATAGGTCCTGTCTATTTAGGACTTTGAACTACATTTAAAAATTGTGCCTAAGCACCATTTAAACTAATGGCCAAACTATTTATAACATGATAAATGATTGAAGAACTGCATTATAAACAGGTTTACAAAACAATGCCATAGATTAGCTACAATTTATAACAAGTTCAGCATAATTCAGCTCTTCCTACACTAGCCATAAAAACTCTGAGTACTCTGAGTTTGGCGTAAAGCGACCAAACACACCACACTTTCCCTTTGCTTCAAGGGCTAAAGTCAAATCTCAAGTCGAACTTCTCCAGTACTCTGGTCTGTCTCTTGGTGCTATAGACTGTACACAAAAGATATAAGTTCCCTTCATGTGGTAGTAGCCCAGGACTTCGCAAAGTCAATTCAACAGTCCATATATTAGTTCGACCTCTCCCTGACCCCAATTAAGATTTTAGATGCCTGAACTGTAGCAACCTATGTACTCCTTCACCAATATCCAGAAAAGCATCAGTCATTCCTTAGTACTGATGGAGGAGAAGAGCTCTTAAACTCTCCTCCATCCCTGGGCCTCCAGTGAGATAGCAAATGGCAATAAACCAACTGATCAAGTGGGACAAAGCTCCCAGTTAAACAAGGATGCTATGCTTGGAGCAAAACAGAAATATCAGAGGCCTTTTTTTTCCCCCAATTAAACACTTTGCATTACTGTGTTTGCTTATCTGCTGGAAGAGATTTTTAATATCTCTTTGGAAAAGTTTCCAAATTTGGGGGGAGAAATAAAACCTGTTAAAAATTAACTTCAAAACGTTTTCTTTTGAGGACTGCACAGGTCATAGTTATGATGTGCTACACACAGCACCCATGCATCCAAGAAAGTTATTCCTTGTGAGCTCTGATCATTTCTCAGTTTTTGCAGAATGTAATCATTCATTTTAAATAAAGTTTCTAACACTTACAGTTGTGAAGCCTTTTAAAACTAGACTGTTAGCATGAAACAACAGCTCAAAACTATGACCTACCACTATTAACCAATAGGTCTTAACTCTGAGGTGTAATAAGGACAATTTGAAATTTCAACACTCTTAACTACCTTAACACTGACCAGTTTAGGAGAAATATTCAGCCAATAGACTTATCCATTATGACTTAACACCACACAGTTTACAGCAGGGGTTCCCAAACTGTGGGTCACGATCCCAAATAGAGTCACAATATCAGCAGACGGGGTTGTGGTAATCTCTAGTGTGCAGAGGATGCCATTTTGCTCTGGACAGCGTGACCTTGTATGTACGAGATCACGATGCATGGAGGATGCCATTTTGCTCTACAAAATAGCATCCTCCACACAGCATGAACTTGCATGCAAAATACATAGTAGTAGTAGTCATGTAGTGCAGAGGATGCCATTTTGTAGAGCAAAACAGTATCCTCTATGTGGCCTTACACATATGGTGCGTATGAGGTCATGAAGGGCGGAGGATGCCATTTTACTCTACAAAATGCTGTCCTCCATGGAGCGTGATCTCACTGGTATAGTGTGGGT